CTTCTTCTTCTTCTTCTTCTTCTTCTTCTTCTTCTTCTTCTTCTTTTTCTTCCCTCTCCCAGCCTTCTCTCTCTCCCTCTCACTCTCTCTTTCTCTCTCACTCTCTCACTCCCTCTCTCTCTCTCTCTCTCACTCTCTCTCTCTCTCTCTCTCTCTCTCTCTCTCTCTCTTTCTCTTTCACTCTCTCTCCCTCCATCCCTGCCTCTCAGGTACTCTCATTACCCTTGATACAAAATGTCCATCTCCATATTATAGCACAAGGAAAAGGCGACAGAGATACAATTTATTTCATGAACAATGCAAACATAGTACCTACTAACCTACATAGGCTCAGAGCTCCAAAAGTAGTATACGATCTTTCATAGGCTTTGGGGACCGATGATATAGATACAAACCTCAATCAAAAGTTCCTTTCTTTTTATGCCCGTCTAGACCGTTGTAAGGTTTTATTTGTTGTGGAGTTTCATTCATTTTATTTTTATTTAATTTTACATTATTTTATCTTTTTTTTTGTGTGTGTCTACCGCAAATAGTGTGTGTACTTTGTAGTATCATTTGTAGTATTTTAGACAGCCCATTAGTTTCTGAACAAACAAAAATACCGCCGTTATTTTTCTTTCCCTAATTTCTACAAACTGTTTTATACATTTAATAGGCTTCAGGAACGCGGGTTTGATGAGGGCATAGTTGTTGTTTTTTTTTCATTTTCCCCCTTACCCTTCATCTCTTGGGGGGGGGGGGGAGTTTCTTCCTATTTTATACGTTTAGGGTGGGGGTTACTTTTTTTGTCTACCAAAATCTCTTGCCCTTAGCTCTGATTTTAAGGATGTTGCTTGTTTTTTGTTTGTTTGTTTTATCTTTTATTCTTCTCGTGTGTGTTACACTTATCGATATTGATCATTCCTCTTTGGGCTCAGCAGACAGCAGCTCTCCTCTATACTTTACAACGGTGTAATATTATGGTAGTAAATAAATCTATAGTTTGCCCTTTTGTGCAGGTAGTAGTATTGATGTCTGGAACAACACAGCTAGAGGTGGTAGCGGTAGGTAGTGGCGGTGGTGGGCTGAGAGAAAGCTCTTTACCCGTGGGCGAAATTCTATAGGCCTTCCTAAGTTTTCCCCAGAATATAGGTCATGGCCTACGGCGGCTGAATCTTTGTTTCTGAAATTTCTTTTTGAATTTACATACGCAGTTAATTATCTCTGGCATTTTAGGATTGCTGATTCGTTTTTTCTGTGTCCACATTTTAGACCAAGTTCAGGGCGTAGTACGTTCACCAACAGTGTCTTTTATTTTAAAATGTTATGAAATTGACCGTTTCCTCAAACATACAGAAAGCTGCAGCTTTAATGGACTTTACTTTATAAAACAAAGTCAAATGGTGCATTTTGAATATTCTTTCCACTGTTTTTCGCATGGGGTTAGGGCAAAAGACAAAACAAGGACTACCATGCTTTGTTGTGGGTATATGATCTCTCCATTTGGTAAAACAGAAAAAAATGGCGGATGAATGGAGACTGCCGCTGGCGTATTCTGGTTTTGTTTGGTTACTGGTTTTTTGTTTTTTTTTAGGGGGGGGGGGTCTCCCTTTTCTTTTTGTCCACATGTCGGTACACGTCCTACTTTTACTAGTACTACCGTACACCAAGTTACGCTTGCTTGTTTTTTGTCTCCATTTTCTGCCCCCGAATCTGAGCTCCTGACTCTTTTTGAAGCCTTTCTTCTGCTGTCTTTCAGCCACACCCCTGATCTAAGGGTTGGTAAAATCTAACACCTAGCCTTCTCGGATAAGGGTAAAAAATTTCGGTGTCCCGGAAATTGTGCACGTTAAAGGTCCTTGGACGTCCATAATCGGTAAGAGCAGGCTTCGGCCACCACCCGAGCAACATTCAAAATCAATTCGTACCAAACTGAAAATGTTTAATGTGTCCCTCGTGCTCATACAACCTTATGCAGAGTTGCTAGCGCCGTAAAACGCATACCAAAACAAAACAAATTTTTAAAAATACCAAATAGTTGGTGTCGACGGGGACCTTAAACGTTTAAATAAAATCGTATACAGAAAGAGAGGCACCAAGCTGAATCACTTCGGGGGTCAAACTCAAATTACACTGAAGGTTGCGGGCTGAATCCAACAGTCATTGGGCACAATCTCGCAACCTTAGAATTACGAAGTTCCATCTGACTTTTTTAGCCGTTTTGAGCTACTAAGACCATGAGATTAAAAACCAAATGTTTCATCTGCTCTATCAAAATCATAAGATTTTTCGGAGCCGTTATCAAGATATTCAAAGAATTGCATACGAAGAAGCTTGGCGTGTTGTAAAGGTCAACATTTTTAACGTCAAATTTCTTAAAACTAGGTACATATACAGAGCTGATAGAACTTTGTAATTATTCTAAGGTAACGACTGTCTTTCTGTGGCCACGTAAATATGCATGCAGTCGAACTTGCTCTGACAACAACATATATAATATAAATGACCAGTTCACATCTTGGACCACTTTTCCCCACGACAATGGGCAGCCGCCTTGGACAATTTTGACAATTCTCTGTAAAACTACAACATGCTGACTGGTGTCTGGTGTAATGGACGGGTGGTTGGCGGGTACCGGAACTCTGGTGTTGTTTGCTTCTTCTTTCCTATCAAACAACCGTGATTCTTATCTCTCCTCTTTCTCTCTCTCTCTCTCTCTCTCTCTGTCTCTGTGTTTGTTTCGCTCTTGTAACACCTTTAATAATCTTCGGGACTTGTGTGACCTAATTGTGCTGCAAGTGCCATATAACGCTTACTATAGCATAAATAACACAGGTGTACTTGGTTGGGTTTTCTTGGTCACACTCTTTGCCTTTGCATGTAGATTTGAGTTCGATTCCCATCATCGTCATCACATTTCTGGACACATTTAGCCATCTTTCTTCAGGAGCAGCAATTACACTCGCCGTAACAACTTTGAAGTATTTTTTTTCAACCATAACTTTGTCTACCAATCTTATGTCGTATACGCAAATAACATCTGTCACCCATAAAAAGGAAGCGCCCCCCCCCCCCCCCCCAAAAAAAAGAGTAGGGTTCCCACATGGTAACATTATTTTTCTGGGTATCTCTGTATCGGTCTGCTGGGATGTTGTCAACTCAACCCAGCTTGGTCATGACAGGCAGGGTCATGGAGCCTCTAGGAACAAAAACTCAAAACGATGACCCTCGTAGTTATCAGAAAGTAAAGACAATTGCTTATAATGTATAAAATTATGGAAGCTGATAACGCCGTAAAACACTTACCAAACATAACGTTTTTTAAACACAGATTAGGATCGAAGAAAGATAACAATACAAAAAAGGTGATTGGGGATTTTTGATGAGAGTACATTCCCCTGTATGTGAACCACGACCCCAGAAACAAGACTCCTCTGTCTGATATATTGTTTTGTTTGAGTAAAGAGAAGCACATTGACACAATACTGGTCATTTAGTGCTGAGAACAAGTAAGGAAGATAGACAGAGACAACAGAGAAAATTAAAAAGTAGGACCTACCAGTGGCGCCCTCCAACCAACCACAAGGCACCTTTTAATTAAAGTAAGTCAAAGCTTCAGGTAGGCATAGAGTACTTTGTTGGAGTAAAGAGAAGAACGTTGACACAATAATGTAAAAGGGCATGACAATCAGACAAGAATTTTAGAAGGAAAAAAAGCAGACAAGAATATCAGTTTTAGTTTACTAAGTAAAAGTATTATGGCACTTGAAACAGAATAAGGTCATACATTTGCTGAAGAATAGATGTGTTACAAGAGAGAAACGTACACAAAAAAGGAGGAGAGATAAGGATGACAGATGTTTGATAGGAAAGAAGGAGCAAACCACATCAGAGTACCCGCCAACCACCCATCATGAATATTAGAAGGAAAAAAAAAGATGGAGCAACAAGTAACGCCCTCCAAGCATCGGATGACTTCGGGTAAGAGAACAAAATAAAACGACACAAGCCATTACATGAAAATATTTATTGCCAAGACAATGAAATTCAGGCTTTCACTACCAGCAAAACAATTTGTACACACTTTTTATTTCACTTTGTCCATCAAGCACTTATATATGAGAGGAGAATTCCTCCCACAGGTACTTCTTTCAACAATTTCAGCACCCGTCCAGTTTTTCATCCATCAGTACATGGCCTATTCAGAATCCTCCACATGGTCCCTGCTGATCTCTCTTCATAATAACAACAGCATTAAAAATCTAATAGTAAAAGTAATAATAATAATAATAATAGCTGTATTATTTATACAGCACATGTCCATTCTCTACAGCTTTACAACTATTATTACCCCAGCACACCCCAGAACACTCTAAAATATTCTCAGCCTCTAGGGAAATATGAAAAGAGAATCCAACCCCCCGTGCTGTTACCAGCTTGAAAAATAAAGTCTCCAAAGCATTTCCCCCACTCCTTCTCTGCTCCTCACAACACTGAATTCCCTCTTGTAGATTTGTTAACACTGACAAGTCCAAATAATTTACATCCATTTTACCAAGAGACAAATGAGGACAGGACAAGAGTAACATGGACAAGAAGTAGAAGCAGCAGACCACAATGTAAGGCCTACCACCACCAACCAAACAACCCCACATCATCACAGTTATAACACAATTGCGCCGCTCATTTCTTGTGTGATGTATCAAGTCATTCAAGTGATTGGTATGGTAAGAATGCTTTTTACTTATTTCAGATCCTCTGTGTGGCAGGATTTTGTTTTTTTGTACTAAAATCCTACTTTTGAGACATTTCCACTTTCGCTAAAGCCAGAAGGCTGACCCAGTTAGGCACTGTTCTTTAAAGATAAGATAAGACGAGATAAAAGATAACATTTTATTGATTTCAACAAAGAGAAATTTACTGTGGCATGATAAATACATTCACGCACTCGTCCGCGCACACACACACACCCACACCCACGCACTCACATTTACATACACAGTAACACTAGAATGAACAGTCATTGGATATACAAAATAATTTTACTCATACACACTTGACAATGACTGAACAACTGGTCTCTCAAAAAAACCAAAAAAAAACAAACCCAAAAAAGACTTCAGCAACTGTGTTATGACTGAGACCTGCTCTACAACTCAGGCGGCACATCATACTGGGAGCAGCAACAAACAGGCCAGGAGACAGGAGGCAACAGATGGTCACTTCCCCGTAGGTTTCTTTGACAATGATCCAACTGCAGAAATCACCGTAGCTTTGGTCCCCGTGGCGGTGGCTGTCAAGTTGACCACTCCTGGCCCCTGCACACCCGGGGCCTTGACAACGCCCGCTGACACTCCACCAGGCTGAGCGTCCCATTTGGTCTTCCTTTTTTTCTCGTCTGTGGACATAAAAGTTTTATTCTAATTATTGGTATCATTGTAGTGAAAAGTGCAAACACACTCTAGCCAATAATCTACAATGTGAGTATCACATTTACTCCTTTAGATCTTTTATGTATAGCCATTTCCACGCTAGTGTTTACAAATAAGTCATCCCAAAATAAAAGTTCAACTTTTAAAAAAGTTATCAAATCATTTCTGTAATCAAGAGTCTACTAATAGAAACATAAAAAAGTTTGGATTTTTGGTATTTTTTTTCTAAATTAAAAAGTACTTGCCATGACAGCCACCTGTACAAACTGCCACTTTCCATTTCCCCTCTTGAGTTTTATAATTTAACTGTGTAAAACAGTCACCTGTCCAACACCGCCCACAACTCATGTACAAATCGTATGTGAGGTGACTGGTCACTATTTTGTTTAACTAATCAGTCACAAAGTAACAATGGACATTGACGTGAACTTGCGACAGAAGCGTCGCTCGCTCGTTCTCCGAGTGGTGGCGACCAGTGTGTTTGTTTCACCATGGCACTCAGTCTACATCGTCTTACTTAAATATTTCTTTTATTTTACACTTGCACAAAATCACCAACAAAAAGAAAGCTAACCCAAAAACAAATTAACACAAAAAAAAACCTTCCACTACCCTCCCCCATTTAAAAAAAAAGAAAACAAAAACCCTTTTGAATCAGCCTTACGGCAGTCTAAAGCCTGAGATCAACCCTGGTGTAGGCCTCGGAAGAGAATGATCAATTTTCTTCATTTTGATCAGTCCTGCCGAAGACGGCCACCTGTGTTGTACGGCCATTTTTCTCCTTGACAATGGTTGGGCGTTTTACACAGGTTTGACTGTAGTTCTTTGTAAAATGCTTACGGAGTTTCAGCTGCAGGCATATTAACACATGACACGATCAAAAAACACAAACCTTTCTACACGCCACACATAGAACCGCTATGACAAATCTAACAAAAAAACAGGAAACTGCTGAAAACAACACTGATCCCACTGTATCATAACAGTAACCAAGTTACAAATTAAAAATGTGGCTTTTGTAATATACTTTCCCGATAATTTGTCCCTCATACTTTTAGTACCGGCGTCTGTGGTATAGCAATTGAGCACTTTGTCGTCATATGTAGAAGACCTAAGTCAATTCTAAAAAGGGAAAAATTTTTATCAAGTAGCTCCACCTTTCTGATGAGATGTATCCCTTTCACCCCAGGTTGGTTTCTGACAGGCAGGGTCAAAGCCTGCCTGCTCAATGATCTAAATTGAGTCCATGGAGACATAAAAACACCTCCATTAAACAATTTATTCACCATAGTTTTAGTGCTTTGATATGGGGACAAAAATGCTCTGTCTTTGATTAACCAACACCTTGTCCAGTACAGTCAACAACAACTACAACAACAAATAACAAATTTAGTCTGTTTGAGTAATTAGAAGCACATCAACACAATAAAGGTTAATTGGTGTACAGAAAAAGTGAGACACAAACAGACAAAAACAAAAGAGGGAAAGAAAAGAAACAGGACCAAAAAGTGTTGACTCCAACCACCTGCCCACTCACCTGGCATCCCAGAGATGTCGGACATTGACGAAGCTTTCTTGGTACCCGTGACAAACTCAATCTGAGAAAACATAAGTAACACAACAGGGATTAGTGTCTGACTTATATTGTTAAAAAAACAAATACAAAACAAACAAAAACATAAAAAACATTTTACGAAAAGCTAAAATTTTAAAATGCATTCAAAATAATATACAAAGCTAATCCAAACATTGAAGTATAACCAGGAACCACCTCCCCCCCCCCCCCCCCCCCCCCCCCCCCCACTGAGTATACAGAGTGGAGGAAACAGGTAAAACCATGTAATAAAAAAAAGGCAAGTTCATAAAGAAAAAAAAATAAAAGTAATAAAAGGAGAAATAAAAAATCAAAATAACAGCTGAGAAATCCTGCCTGAGAAAAGATTACAATCATTAAAGTATTTTATAAAAAGTTTTTAAAAAAATGAAACAGGAGTATTACACATAGTTGCAATAAAAGATTAGTCATCACAATAAAACAAAGGCAACAATGCGTCAGAAACAGTTACCGTTACACTTTGAAGGGAACAGATTAGGACATTAGGATTAGTAACACTAGACAGTATCATTTCATGTGGTTGTAAAAAGGAAAAATACAACACTGGTATTTCAGGAATCCACAAGGAAACAGATAAAGAAAAGTACTTGGAGGAGGCATTTAGAGTCAGACCTAAAGGAGATGGGGTACAGCATGGCAAAGGTGGAGACTATAACCCAGGACAGAAGTAAAGAAGAGCTCTTGTTGGTGGCATATACTCCAGCACAGGGTGAAAAAGGCTGATGATGATGATGAACACTACACAGACTTCAACATTGATTCTTTAACACGGGATAGCCTAGCTCCTAAAGAATCAGCTGAAGAGCAGCAAATCGTGCGAGGTTTCACAAATTAAAAATGCTGAAACCAAAAAAGAAATCTTTCTCCTGACTGCGTACATCCAGAATGAAAGTTTAAAATCCTCGAAATGTGGTAATCTCTTCTCTGCCAGAATCAATCTTATTGGACATAGCAGAAGCAACAACTCATCCGGATCCCTTTTTTCTGTTTCTTTTTAAGAAATATTTTCCTTTGCGGATACACTTGTCGTAAGATATCGACCCACAAATTATTATTATTATTATTACTACACAGAAGTAAAAGTAGATATTACCATAGCACCCATGAACCATCTGCTTTCCGGCAAAACAAAATAATGAAATCTTTATCTTACCTTTGTTTTCTCTCTCTTTTCTTTTTCCCTTCTTTCCATGTCTTTCCTTTGAACTTTGTCTGTGGCAGAGAAAGTGATAGAGATGATAATCTTGTTACTTTGCTTTTATTTATTCAAAGCCATATTCAATATGAGAGAAAATGGTACAAGTAGTAAAATTGGAGGGGGGGGGGGCCTTGAAAGTCCTTGGTTAACTTGAGTAAACAGAGTCACACTGACACAAAGACTATCATTTAAGGCTGTGATAGATCGAAACAACAAAAGTAGG